CAGATCGCAAGGTCAGGAGTTCGAGATCAGACTGACCAATATGGTGAAACCCCATCTCTACTAAAGTAAATACAAAAATTAACAGGGCGTGGTGGTGTGTGTCTGTAGTACCAGCTACTCGGGAGGCTGAGGCAGAAAAATTGCTTGAACCTGGGAGGTGGAGGTTGCAGTGAGCCAAGATCACGCTACTGCACTCCAGCTTGGGCGACAGAGAGAGACTCCGTCTCAAAAAAAAAAAAGGAGTGAGATGCAGAAAGGTATTGTAAGCAAGGAAATTAGTAAAATGTAAATAAATCTAAATAGATCTTGATTATAAGAAGCAACATCATAATAGTGATTGATTTTGTGGTTATACAATAGGATGAAATTAAAACAAAATGGAGGAGATCATTGGCTTAGAGTGTTCTAAAGTCTTTCTATTCTTTGGTAGGTAGGTAGATTTGTTAACTTTAGATTTTGAAAGTCACATGTGCATGATCAAGTTGTAAGTATCACCACTAATAGAAATGAACTATATAATTTTCAAACCAATAAAGTGCTCATAAAAAGCACTGTGTTCTAGTGCGTTTGACCAAGTATTTCACAGCACCAGAGCCAACGTTCTTCTACCTGTTTTGTGAAAGATCCTTCCATCCTCCAAGCAGACTTAGAGGTTTTCTCCTCTCTGCTCTTGAGTATCTTGGTCAACTCTTTAGAGCAAGTGTAATGGCCAATTTCTTGGGTCCATTTCCTGTTCCTCCTCATCATTGTGCCCCAGTGCCTGGCATATACCAGGCACTCTCATGTTTTAAGAAGGAATGGCTATGACTTGCTCAAGGTCGCACAGCTCTCAAGTGGCAGATAAAAAACAGAGACCCAGATTTTTGCTCTTCCAGGTTTTTTCTTTTCTTTGAAACAATCTGAAAAAAAAAATTGTATATTAAAAAAAAAAGTTGTATTTCATGAACACAGTAGCTGGTTGATTAAAGCAAAAAGAAATTGCTCAGAGATGAAAAGCAAATGAAGAGAAAGAAATTTCATACCAGTAACCCTTGTCAGTCTATTGTTAAAAAAAAAAAAAAAAATCCACACTTTGCAGATTGTGCTAGTGATGGAGCCATGTCCCAGAACAGGCTTTTGGAATGGCTGCCTTTTCCAGGGAAAACTTGACCACATTCACCTCAAGGTAGTCTCTGCTGGGGCATGATCCTAGGGAACTGAGAAGGCCCTCACTCACCAGCTTATCACTGCTAGGAACTAAAACCTTCGAATATCCCTTGTTGCAATACAATATGCCTCAGGAACCTACTGGTGATCTGCTAAAGGGGTGGAAGGTGGAAGGGCTGAGAACTTCCTCATGGAAGATTCTGCATTGAAATAGCAAGGAAGGAAAAGTAATTGAAGGGAGAGTAGAGAAGCAAAATGGTGAAGATAGCAAATGCTTGGAGCTGGTTTTTTTCAGATTTTCAGCCTCAGTAACCCATATTTTAAAAGGTGAAACCACATTTGAACTTCCCTTATCTCACAGCAAGACTGAAGACTCAGGAGGAAGTAGATCTTTTGAGATTCTTTGACTAGCACCAGATGACTGCATTAGAGTCTCTGAAATGCAAAACTATGTGATCCACGTGATATTTTCTCCAATCCTTTCTTATGAGTTGCAGAGCCAAGAGAAGCAGATGGAGAAGGAAAATTATCCCGAAGTAAGCTTTCCTTCAAGAGTAGAAAGGTAACAGATGCCAGTAAGGGGAGGAAGGAATGAGGGCAGGCAGCTCTGGACAGGTGGGAAAGGTAGGAGCTGAGGGTGGGTTTAGTTTGGGTTCATGTCTAAATTTACTAAGCATCCAGGCACGGTGACTCACATCTGTAATCCCAGCACTTTGGGAAGCCAAGGCAGGCGAATCACCCAGGAGTCCAAGACCAGCCTGGGCAACACAGCGAGGCCCCATCTCTATTTCTAAAAAATATGTATATTTTAAAAATTTTTAAATAATAAACTTACTGATGTCAGAACCATGTGATATCTAGGCATATGCCTTTGGCAAGAGGATTAAAATTCTTTTTCTGAGACGGAGTTTTGCTCTTGTCACCCAGGCTGGAGTGCAATGGCATGATCTCAGCTCATTGCAACCTCTGCCTCCCGGGTTCAAGTGATTCTCCTACCTCAGCCTCCCAAGTAGCTGGGATTACAGGTGCCCACCACCACGCCCAGCTAATGTTTTTGTATTTTTAGTAGAGACAGGGTTTCACCATATTAGCCAGGCTGGTCTCAAACTCCTGACCTCAGGCTATTGCCCACCTCGGCCTCCCAAAGTGCTGGGATTACAGGCATGAGCCACCCTTCATGGCCTAAAATTCTTAAATATAGCCTGTTTCATCCACTTAAACAATCCTTTCTCTCCTTTACCTGTCTCCCATATAAAGAAACACCAGAAAGAAAACATGCTCTGCAGAAAGAGAGAGAGAGAGAATGTGTTTATTGTGTTTTCAAGAGTGGACTGAGGAATTTTGGCAGCAGGAATATGTAACATTTCTGCTGCAGTGGAGTGACTAGGGTTAACTTTTTACTTCACTCTTCAACTTGGAGGTCAGGTGAGGTTCTCTGTTTTCATTCATCTCCTTTGACACTTTTCACAGGATCATGGAGCTTTACCAGAAAGGGACTTCACAACTGTCACAACATTTTAATCTCTCCAGGCCTGGTACAAGGTGGAAACCTACAGGTTCCCAAGGAGATAGTTTTCATCATTAGCACTTCAGCCAAAGCCTTAATGCTGCAAAAAGAAAGCATAATGTGGAGCAAGAGTTCCTGCTTCCGCCTATTCTGACTGTAGCGCTCCAGGGCTGTGATGAAGTCCATTGTGATCTAGCATTGAAAAAAAAAGAACATTCTCTCCTAAGCCTTGCTGCTATTCATACGGGCTCAAAGTGCATGGTTTAATACTTGTAGCTATGAATACTTGCATTTTTCCAAAGGCCTTACTGTACACATTTATTGGGAAAAATCTCTATTTTCTCCCAAGTGGGTTTGAGGTAAAAAGAATCCAGTAAATAGCTATGCATTTCATTAGTCTGGATGAGGGCATGGATTGCTATCACTGTTTGCCCAAGTGAACGGCTGTTGTAAAGAAGCCCCTTCCAAAATGTTACCTGTGGGACTGCTTTCATGTCTTCATTAACAACAGACACTTGGCATTAGTGACTCAACCACTGTGTTAATTAGAACTCAGACTTGCAGCCCATCCTCAGCTCATAGAATAAACACTGTTTTTCTTTGACCTAATTACAAGATGTTCTTAAACATCATCATTTTGTAAAAGAAACCATGACTACAAATTGCTTTGTGAACCATGCTCATTGTTGGGACTCAAAATGTGTCTGCAATTTGGAGAAGGTGTTTGCAGTTTGCCAGCAAAACCGCAGTCCATTCGAAACGATGGTGTATTCAGGCAATGGGAATAATCTTTTTGCAGATATTATACACTTTTCTCTACCTTCCCTTACCTTCCGCATTACTTATTATTATTATTATTTAGATAGCCCCTATCTAAAAAAAAAAAAAAAAAAAAAAAAGGAAGAAATAAAAAATAAAGGTTGTCAGATCAGAAGCCGAATATCCTGTTATTTTATCAACAGATTTTATTTGGTAGGTTCCCTACAGTTGCTGGCTTCGGTGACATTTCAGATTAGATTGTCATTTCTTCTCCTAAGCCCCAACAACAGCTTTCTATCATCATGATTGATTAAAAAGCCCAGCAAACAAATAAGCAAATTGCTACACCACCACTATCAACCACGATAAAACTCAGAAACCAAAATATTTTCTTTAAGCCAAAGAGAGTTGATTAAATACCTCATAATGTACTGTGGGTCAGCTGTATTGGGCCACATTGGGTCATTATTGTAGAATTTTATTTGAGTATGAACCCTGAGGGACTGTAATGCCGAGAGCTTTACTCAGCCCTGATCTCCCCAAATACTCCAGTACCATAAGGAAAAATACCTAGAGCAAGCCTGTCCAGTCCCCGGCCTGCAGGCCACATGCAGACCAGGACAGCTTTGAACGCAGCCCAACACAAATTCATAAACTTTCTTAAAACATTATGAAATTATTTATTTATTTGTTTATTTTTAGCTCATCAGCTATCATTAGTGTAGTGTTTTTTTGTTTTGTTTTGTTTTTTGAGACGGAGTCTCGCTCTGTCACCCAGGCTGGAGTGCAGTGGTGCGATCTCGGCTCATTGCAAGCTCTGTCTCCCGTGTTCACGCCATTCTCCTGCCTCAGCCTCCTGAGTAGCTGGGACTGTAGTCGCCCGCCACCACGCCCGGCTAATTTTTTTGTATTTTTAGTAGAGACGGGGTTTCACCGTGTTAGCCAGGATGGTCTCGATCTCCTGACCTCGTGATCTGCCCATCTCGGCCTCCCAAAGTACTGGGATTACAGGCGTGAGTGTAGCGTATTTTATTTGTAGCACAAGACAATTCTTCCAATGTGGCCCAGGGAAGCCAAAGGATTGGACACCCTTGATCTAGAGTATGAAAGAAAAAAAACACATTTCAAGTGGCCTATGGGATGCTGCCAGGAACCCCTCGGAGATTTCTAGTGCTGAGGATTCTGTTCTTTTTTTTTTTTTTCTGTCTTTGTCAGAAAATATATTTATTATTGATAGTAAGTGAAGTAAAGATGTGAGTATTCACTATAGAGGTTATATCAGCCAAGGTTGCCTTCATATTGATAAAAATACCGCATCTCACTTGTAATCATAAACATTATTCCAGTAGAAGAGGTACCTTTTCTCTCCTTTTTGTCTTCTTGCCTCTATAATCACCATAATAAGTTAAAATGAAACAGCTCTTATATAATCAAAGGAGAAAAGAAAGAGAGAGAAACCCAGCATGCCACATTCTAGACAATTCCACCCAGCACTGCGACCTCCAGATCTGTTTTCTCGCTCTCTCCACCTGGCACTGCTGTCCCCAGATCTATGTTTTCTGGTTCTCTCCTCACCCGACTCCAATTAATTTAGCCCCCCACCCCATTCTGCTTTGTTAGGGTGGAGGTTCTCCAAATGATGGGGCTTGCTCAGAAGAGAAACATTTTATGGTCAGTGGAAGTTGAATAGAAAGTACCAAATGGTGGAGAGGGCTGCCCTTCTCTTTTAGTCATCATAAGAGGGTTTACTAATACTGAAGTGCGTCCTTTAATGACTGATCCCTGATCAAGGCTTTGGCCCTTCAAATTGCTGCTGTTCAAAATGTGAAATGATTATGCTGAGTCCATTCTTGTCTGTCTTTAGTGGTCTTCTCATTAGTGGTCTTCTCTTCAAATGGGTTATTTTCTTACTAGGAAAAAAAAAATGTTCCATCTCTGGAATTAACGTTGATGGTGTTTTGCTCGTTCTGAAAGTTTTTATCCTCCCTTCTCAAGCATGCTCTGTTTGGCATGATTGACACAGTGCATATACTGGGTGGCCAGAGAGGAGCATTTGAGGGTCTGGTGGGCGTTCTCACGGTAACACTGAAGAATTTCGGCCTGCAGATCAGCACAGACTGGATGAGACTCATACCGCTTGAACTTTGCTTCTACCTCTTCAGCAGCTCTCTGATATTGTTCAGTGGTGACTTTGTAGAACTCTGAGCTCCTCTCCTCCAGTCTAGCCAGCTGTTCTTTGTAGAATGCATCCTGCTTCTTTAGTACTCGGTCTTTCTCTTCCAGCTGCCTAGCCAGGTGCTTCGCCTTAGCGCCCTCCTCCTCGCTTGATATCCTCTCCCGAAGGATGGCTCTGGTTAACTGCTCATTGGCAGCAGCCCTCTCTCGGTCCAGCTCTTTGGCTTGCTTTAGTCGTTTCTGATCTTCGGATTCTTTCTTGACTTGCTCCAATATCAGCTCCTCAGCTACTCTTCTTTTCAATTCTTCATCAGAAACTGAGGCACCATAAGCACCAGAATACCGCTGAGGCTTCGAACCAGATGGAGAGGATTCCTTCATTCGATCAATCACATTTTCCGAAAGCCGGATGCCCTTCACCACGGTGATGTTCTCATTCTCGTCCGCCTCGAAGGCGACCCGGCGGGTGCTGGTGGTCCCACCCATGGCTCCGGTTCCTGCCCCAGCGGAGACCTAGCGCGGAACCACGAGCACTTCGGGGCCCCTGCGCCCACACGCGCGTGGAAGGACCTGGATTCTTTTCCCGCACAGCAGGAGCAAGGCCACGACCCCAGAAGCAAGGAGAAGGCGCCGATCGAGGACTCTGTTCTTAAACACACAAACCTCCTTCTGGGGAGGTGTTCTTGCTGAATATAACTACAGACCCTTGAGCAAAGGGCTCCCTTATAGAAAACAGTGGCGAAAAGCTGAAATAATAACTGGATAATATACAGGTTATTATACAGACTGGCATTCCAATACCACTCTGGAGAGCGTTCACTTAGCAGTTCCAAAAACAATCTTTAAAAGTGTTCTGCCACAGGGCCACCGCTAGAGGGCAGGGCAGACCACTTCTGTTTTCAGACGCTTTCTCCCGGGAGGAAATTGAAAGTTACCTTGAAGGACAGGCTGAATGCTGAACAGACCTTCACACTTAAAAGCATCTCCACCCCTGCACTTCACCCTTCCACAGTTTAGGAGCAGAGCAGTGAGTGGGCAGGCAAGCACTACGTAAATTGCATTGAAACAGGATTTCACTGGAAGAAAACACTCTTCCAATGAAATCTGAAGTTTCATAACTTTGATAACTTTCATTTACTAAAATATTCCAGCCCTTTCTATGTGCCAGAGACTATGCTGAGCACTGGAGATATAAACACAAGTATTTCTTTGTTATTTTCCTCTATAGGTCTACGGTGTAGGTGGGCAGACAGACAAGTTAATTAATGAAGAGGCGGTAATGTCCCAAATGCAATATGAACTCAAAGGAGGGGAACTGGGATTTCAGGTGGGGTGAGCAGATGGGATGGCTGAGAGTGTTGGAGGTGCAAAGACCAAATCAGAAGTCACTGGGTGAAGGCGAGAGACAAGAAAAAGAGGGAATCTTTTTTTTTTATGAGAAAGCTTTCAGTATAATAATATATAACCGAGAAAATTAATATCCAAATGCAAAATAAAAGAAAAAAAAAGCCAATAGCTAGCACTAAAACCTGTTATATTTTAACCATAAACTTCTAGTTGTCAGAAGATTTGGGGTAAAGACAACTTAGGAAGAAAACAGCATAACCACGTTGACCTGAAATGAACCCATCTGACTATCATTCCTATTGTGTAAGCAGTTACACCTGGGAATGCCGTGGACCAGACTGGGTAGTCCTCTAGGAATGATGAGGGCTGATGGCTGCTATGTGAGGGTGGTGTCCTCACAGCAATCATGTTAGAATGTCCCCATTCCTCTGACACGCCACCAAAGGTACCTGGAATGATGAACGCTACTGTGGTTCTCAATCCATGCCACACATTCACATCAATCAGGGAACTTTCAGATGTCCAGCTCTCTCTCTACCTCCCTGTTCTGATTCAATGTTTGAAAACTCTCTAGGTTATTTTACAGTGCAGTCAGGGTTGAGGCCTACTGAGTTATACACTGGTGATATTTCACAGGGGAAACCTAAGATGCCAGCTAGGGACACGGGCAACATCCTTTTCTTTTAGCACCAGGGAAATAATTGAAACTTCTACTTTAATATTATGTAACTTTTTTTTTTGAGATTACAGTCTACACCTCAGTTTTGTTTGTTTTGAGATGGAATCTTGCTTTGTCGCTCAGACTGGAGTGTGGTGGCGTTATCTTGGCTTAATGCAACCTCCACCTCCTGGGTTCAAATGATTCTCCCACCTCAGCCTCCTGAGTAGCTAGGCTTGCAGGCCTGTGCCACCAAGGCTAACTTTTGCATTTTTTAGTAGAGACAGGGTTTCACCGTGTTATCCAGGCTGGTCTTGAACTCCTGACCTCAAGTGATCCACCCTCCTCGGCCTCCCAAAGTGTTGAGATTACAGGCGTGAGCCACCGCGCCTGACCTTATGTAATTTTTTAACTTGCAATTCAACACCTGAAATAGTTCGCAGGTAAAATATGGTATCACAAAGAAAACAATATGAAAATAGAAATGAGTATATAGAGGGTAGACAATGTTGCAAGATGTTCATTTTTACCTTTTTCATTAGTCACTTTGTAATTTGTAAAGGGTCCCCCTCAGATAGGTATTGGAAAACGCCTCCCTTTGGTCTCTCCCTTCAGAATCCTCTGGGTGCCTTTCTGCCCTTTCTTGAGAGTCCCAGCCTCATCACTGAGTAACAGAGAGAGATTTACCGGCTCTGGAGGCTCCCTCTTGGCTTCATCCTGGACTCTGGATGGCATCCTCTGCTGTGCTTCCTTATGAAGGACGTGTGCTGACGGTTAGCAGTTTGGAATTCTTCATCTTAGAGCATCCACGAGGGCCGGGCACTGTGACTCACGCCTGTAATCCCAGCACTTTGGGAGGACGAGGCGGGCAGATCACCTGAGGCCAGGAGTTCGAGACCAGTCTGGTCAACATGGTGAAACCCAGTCTCTATTAAATACAAAAATTAGCTGAGCATGGTGCTGCATGCCTGTAGTCTCAGCTACTCGGGAGGCTGAGGCAGGAGAACTGCTTGAACCCGGGAGGCAGAGGTTGCAGTGAGCTGAGATCGCGCGCCACTCCAGTCCAGTCTGGGCGACAGAACGAGACTCCGTCAAAAAAAAAGCATCCACAAGACTGACAACCCTTACTGCTGGTACCGCTCACCTCCAATTATTATGCTGACATATTACTTAATTTTGTCATGTTACTTTGTCTTTCCAAATAGCTCCTTTCCGTCGGAAGAGAGTGCGATGGGAGGGTGGAGAAAGATGTAAGAGGAGGTGGGGGTGGGGGTGGTGAATCTGGCCCAGCCAAATCTTTTTTTCAGCTCGCCAGGGCTGCTGAATGGGAGGCTAACGTCAAAAGGTCTGCATTCCGAAAGAGTTGCTCCTAAGTGGTCTACGGTATACAGCAAGATTTTCTGTATTTCGGGGGCACTTTGACTCAAACTAGAGTTCAAGAAAGCCGCTTACCATTCAAGTTGATCCTCTTCTGGTCAAGAGGCTGCAGCGAGGGAGAACCCTGGCAAGAAACAGGAAACTGGAGGCCGAGAAATGGTAAGGGCTGGAGGATTCAATACTGGCAGCCCCTTGCTGCCGGAAGGCGGGGGATCCGCTGCTCTGACACACTTGTGCCGCTAGAGGACAGCGCAGGGCAGAGCAGCAGCTCAAGTGCACCATTTAGGGAGCGCGGGATTTCAGCAGCTCGAGGAGTCACAGGGAAGCCGTTCATAAAACAAGCATAGAATAAATTATCCAGCAAGGAAGGTTGCTTTGAAATATGACCAGGAAAAGGGTAGACACTAAAGGTAACAATTGATTTAATAACTTTGAGTAATGAGACTTTTTTTTTTTTTTTTTTCCGGAGTCTCGCTCTGTCTCCCAGGCTGGAGTGCAGTGGCACGATCTCGGTCACTTCAACCTCCACCTCCCGGGTCCAAGCGATTCTTGATTCTCCTGCCTGAGCCTCCCGTGTAGCTGGGACTATAGGCCCGCGTCACCTCGCCCGGCTAATTTAATTTTTGTATTTTTAGTAGAAACAGGGTTTCACCATGTTAGCCAGGCTGGTCTTGAACTCTTGACCTCAAGTGATCCGCCCGCCTCGGCCTCCTAAAGTGTTGGGATTACAGGCGTGAGCCACTGCGCCTGGCTGAGTAATGAGACTTTTCTGCAGTGAGCATGGAAATAGGCTGCTTCAGAGGTAAGGAGAGAAGGGAATTTTGAGATTATTTGAAACGGTGATTTATCTCAGTACAGACATGGTACATGTCCACTTCAGGGATATAAAATGAGCTAATCAGGGGCTACAGTGGCCTTCCTAAGTCTCATGAAACACTTCCAAAAACTTCCGTGCTTTCCCTAATTTTGTGCAGCAAATGATAAGAGACACTCAGGGACAGGGATTTGGTTCACGTGAGAACTAGCCCAAGAAACCAACTACATGTGGACCACACAGACAGCATCTCCAAGAGTGATAGACAGCACTCAACCTCCATCGTTTCATTTTGATGGAAACAGAGTGAGTTTAAGGAAGGCTTTTGGTGAGCACATGTTTTATATTTCTATTTCATAATGCTGGTATTTCTATCAGTCTTTGTGGAATATTTCTCCCCTAAATGCAGAGAATCAAAAGCAAGAAAAGTGGATTCTAACTCTCAAAGAGTTTCCAGAGCTCTGAAGAAGCTGGAAAGTGATTCAGTCAGGTTCCTAACAGGAAGCAGATGGCATGCCCAAGTTAGGATCTTTCCGGGATGGTTTATTTACCAATGCACGGGCAAGGTGCAAGGGACACTCATGAGATGGTGCAGAAGGTAGCTCAGAGCTTTAGCAGCAGAGCTGTTACTACATCTGAATCTGAGGAAGGGGAGGGAGTATTCATGGGGTTTCTGAACAGAGAGGCGTGGAGGGAAGGCCAACTGGTAAGGACAGTGATCTTAGGTTGCAGCCAGCCCCAGGTGACCGCGCGGCCCTCCCCTCCCCTCCCCTCTCTTCCCCTCTCTATCCCCTCTCCTCCCCTCCCCCTTCCCCTTTCCTTCCCTTCTCTTCCTTTCCCTTCCCTTCCTTTGTCTCCTTTTCCCAGAGGACAAGAGGGTTGGTTAATACAATCCTTTCAGGTCACACTTCCAGGGGAGACATCAAAATGGACATAATCCCACTTACCTGAAATAAAACATGAATGTCACTGCTACTATTTGTGCAGAGGTCCACCTGGCAATACTGCAGGCCCACCTGGGCAGCGTTCAAAGAATGACGAGGGCTAATGGCTGGCGTGTAGGAATCGGTTCCTTAGAGCAATCATGGTAATAAAATGAAGTTGACCACGGTCTAAATGCAGTTCTTTGTAAATATGTGTTTGGTGAGAGGGTTTTTTTTGCTTGGGGTCCTTCAGGCGTCCTGGATCTATGGAACAGCACACCACATCACGTATCATGTCGCTTTCAGAAAATTCTTAGCTAGTATCTTCTCCCCATTCCCTTTTCTGTCCTTCTGGAACTTCAATGTTAAATCTCCTCTTTTTTTTCTTTTTCTTTTTTTTTTTTAGCTTGTCTGCGATATTTTCCATTTATTTTATGTCTTCGTACTGTAATCTGTGTAATTTCTTCAGATAATTCTCAGTACACAAATACTCTCTGCCTGCACCTAATCT